GCCTCCCTCCCTCCCTTCCTCTCTGAGATACACACACTTTTAAATAAGTGATTATCAAATTTGAATGCACATTGGAATCCAAAGGAAACTGATGCCTGAGAACTACCCTTGAAGATTCACAGCAATTGATGTGGGATGATGACTGAGGATTGGGATAGTAGAAAAAGTTTCTCAGATGTTGGTAATGTGAGGTCACTTTTGAGAAGGTGAATATTCAGAAAGATCTCAAGATCTCATTTGATCACCTCCCATACCTGTCCCTCTACCATTGTGGAGCTTATGTCACATAGACACGCCTCTCTTGTCTTAATTTTTAACACAGACTCATCAATCATTTTTCCAATTATGATGTCCCATAAAATTTAACTCAGAAATAGTTCTAGTCTTAGATCGTTTTTCCTCATACTAATTATAATAATTTTCATTTAGTCTTTCATTGATTCACCTTTTTCTACTACCTCTAATTCTTTTCCTTATTTCCAGATTTCCCTCCTAGAATTTAAGTTCCACACAGAAAATAGGAGGATTTATTTTCAAACCAGTTTTATTCACTCCTCCACACTCTTTAGGATTTCCCCATGAGCCTCTGAAGGAAAATGAAGGCTCTTCTGAACAACATAAAGCAACCTCTCATTATCTTTTCCATTGACTTCTTTCTGCATCCTCTGCTTCATCTTTTTTTTGCCAGGACCAGCTAACACCTGTTATATCCTGTGCAAAGCTTAGAGCTCTTTGTCTTTATTTTCCTGCTTGATGGGCAAATGTGTCCTCTCCATATGCATATGCACACACACATACATTCAGATGTTCACATACACAAGTGTACATATGCACATATTAACATCACTTTACCCTGCTTATCCTTAAAAGGATGTTCATTGCAGCACTGATTGTGAGAGCAAAAGTAGAAAACAACTAGAATGTCATTCAGTGTCAAAAGGGATAAGGTGGTAGATTCATATCTTAAACTAGTATGTTAAAGTTAAAACCAGTGCATTAGTTCTTTCTTATCACTATGAATAGATCTCAAAAAACATATTGCCGAGTATAAAAGCAATATGCAATATTGGACAATATCATACCATCTACTGACTATTTTAAAAACAGAATTATAACACATGTTGTTTAGGAATAAAAATGCAAGCTGCAATTATGTAAATACGGATGGGAGTGACAATACTAAATCCATCATAAAATCCAATTCTGATGAGGGAGTGAATATTATCAAGAGATCAAAGGAGTCTAAAACATTTTATTAAATATGATATTTAATAAGCTCATATATTTAATAAAACATGAACCAAATAAAATAACAATATGTGTATGTATTCAACCTGAGTAGTGACTATGTTAACTTTCAAATCCTAATTTTTTTCAGTAATTTTTAACTATTAAAGGGAAAACTACATATTTTCTTCCTCCATTCTCCTAAACTGGGTTAGTTAATATACCTCTTGACCATATAGCCCCTAGTTAATATCCCTATTCCCATATTTACCAGATTAAATTTTATATATATCTATTTATCCTCTTGTGTAGATTGTCTGCTTCTTGAAATATTCATCATCTTTGTATCCCAAAAGATTAGCATCAAACCTAGAGCACAGTAAATTCAAATTCCATTTGCTGAAGGAGTGAATAAGATGAGTTAAAAGATGTGAAGGTTGACAAGGGGCTTCATTTCAGCCCTTATTTGTGTAGTGGGATGCCCACTGGAGTGGGACTTTAATGCTTTACTTTAATAAAGAAAATTCCATTTAGGAGCAACTGGGTTTTTTCTCCCCAAATTTTAGAGATGAAGATAAGCATTTATGTTTGGCATAGGCTTCCTGCCTGTGTTCTGGGAATGTTTCTTGAATGGTCTATAGTTGTAGGAATGTACAGATGTTCACACGAGTGGTCTCAGAGGAGAACAGGAATGAAGGGTTATGGGTGAGAGGGAGTGAGTTGTGAAAGAAAAATAGATATTTTTATAGAACCAAGATTATGATTCTGGTTAGAACTCTACAAGCTTTCTTACATATCCCTGGTCACATAAAGCTCAAAGACTGCTAGGAAAAGGGAAATAATTCATTTATATAAAAAGCAGAGACAATTTAAGAAAAAAATAAATCAATACCTTAATACTTCTTATATTCATACCAAATTGAAGTCACACATCAGGATTGATTGGGATAAATTCAACATCCTCTAGTGGTGGAGGAAGGGCAATAATGTGACTATGAAAGGGTCACAGTGAAGAAAGAAGATACACTTAAGGGTCAGAAACTGTGTCTAATTTTGGATAGTCCAAGGGCAGGTTTAAACTGCTCTGTAGCCCCAGAACTTGTTTCAAAACATATTATAATAATGTAGTTTTATTTTTAGGGTTCCCAACTGGTATAAAGGGATTGATGACATTGGAACTGATGCTTTGGGGATCATTTCTCACTCGAGCTTTCTCAATTGGATAGATACCTTCCACAAACCTGGTATACTAGCTGGGGGCAGGTGTGGCTTATTTTCCCCTCAGAAATCTTAACAGAAAAACAGGACAGACAGTAGATAGGCAAAGCTTAAGTAAATAGCCTAGGCCTACCTATGCCCTTTGTCTTACAGATGAACATTTCACTTTCTACTTATTCATTTTCCTTTGCCACCTGTTATCTCAATGGTAACCAGATGTTAAGAGCATAGATTCAATAGCCAGACTGTCTGGATGGCAGCCACAGTTCCTTAGTTACAAGTTGTGTGACACTTAGCAAGGGATTTAACTTTTTTGTACTTCATTTTTCTCATTTGTAAAATAAGGAAAATAAAACTACATGCTTTGAAAGCTTTTTGTGAAAATTAAGTGCATGTCTGGAACATAGTAAATACTGTATGAAGATATGATACATAAAAAGCAGTTAATATTTAAATCTCTGCTTCTTTAAAAGTTTGTTTCAAACATAGTAGAAAACTCTACAGGGTTTTAAAACATCTACAATACTTGTGTTCAATCCCATACCCTCTGAGTTGGAACTACTGAAAGGACAATCTGAAAACAGATATTTTAAGTGTTCCACACAGGATTCTATTACCACATCAGATTGCATAGCAACCCTAGAAAGTTAAGTGTTTATTTTATTCCACAGAAAATACTGAGGCTCAGAGAAAATTACTCATTTTTCCAAGATTACACATCAAATGAGAGATAAGAGTGGGTGTGAGTAGGTAAGAATCTGATTCCAAACTTCTTCATCTACCATCCAGCAAAAATTGGATGAAACTACAGAAGACAAGGTTCAGAGAAGGAAAACAGCAAATGTAAGAGTGGTGGGCACAGAAGACAGAAGTAGGGAGGCAGGGAAGATGGAAAGTGACAGGTAACCTTGTATGGTGGTAATCAAAGGAAATTTTCCTTTCAGGTACAGTTAGGAGAAACTGGTGATGTTGACAAAAACAAACTCCTTCTGTATCAATATTCTGCCTTGTGAGAGACTGAAATATTGATTATGCCCAGTGCAGGTTGTAAAGAGTTAACCCCACAATTGGCTTGTTCATAAAAAGTGAGACCAGGAGAAGCTTACGGGCCGAGGGCAGAGTAACTCGCACCCAAACTCCGTTCCCACAACCAAAACCTTCTTACTAGGAAAAACAATGTTCTAATTGCAACCATATATTTTGTGTATTCTGTTCTTTTTTTTTTTTTTTTGGTACCTTGGT